CAGTCAATCCCCATTTTATCACCCCATCATTCCCATTCACAACATCTGCCTTTTCTTCATTTTCTTCTCCAGCTCTCCGCCTCTGCTCCTCCTCTGGCAATAAATTCCTCCCTCTTCCTTTCCTCTCTCTCGCTTCCCCTTTCCAATCCCTATTCTCTTGTTTCGGAATAACCAGTGGCGCAGCCACTCTCTTCTCATCTCCTTCTCTAATAACGCCTCCATCCGCAAATCCAGTAACAACCTCGTGCTTTACCCTTCTCGCGCTTGTGCCATTATCTGAATTATCTGAATCTTCGTCATCGTGTGCAAAGGTGCTTCTAGGCCGCTTTCCCAACCCCGATTTAGGCTGCGGCCTACCATTTGTTTCCGCCGAGCCATTTTTAGATCCTGCACCCAAGGAGAAACCTTTCATGGAAATTTTGGGCGCATCGCTCGATGGCAACATTATTGGTCGCGGGATATAGATTCGGACAGTATGTGCGTAATCCAAAGGATGGTTCTACGTTTTAAAGTAATGCGTGAATGAAAGATATGCACGATTGTCTAATTTGAGTATCCGACAGCACCGGTTAATAAACGGTATCTTACTCTATTTTATGATCTCTCAGGACGCTTTAATGATAAGATTGAAGGGTGTGGTTTGCGATTGAAGTGTTGCAAAATTTGTGTACGTTGCGACTCAGCTCAGATTACCATCTATTTAAGATCCTCCAAACACAATATTTGGGCCAATACAGTGGGGCGACCAAAAACACCACGTGATGTTACTTTTATCGGTATGTAGACAGAAAAAACAGGCGGAATTTGACATTCAAATCTCTATTGAAATCTTCCAACTTAATTGAACAAAAGATCATTCACAAATGATTTACAAAATTCAAAAATTCAAAAGAAGGATTAGCTCCTTGTTGTTTAGATTAATTTTGAAATTTTGTTTCATGTAATATTTGAGGGAAGTAATTGAATTATAAAAGATGTTGTAGAAACGACCGAATTCCGCCTGTTTTTTCTCCTGCGAATACCTACCTAGGTAGAGCCCGGTCATATATCATGGCCATTAAATACGGCTTAGAGATAAAATAACTTTCGTTCAATATTTCTACCAGTCCCTTTAAAGCAGGCTTTTACCAGTGTGTCATGTATATAAAGCCTCATGGAATCTGTGGGATATGGCCTGGGCGACTTAAAATTTGAACACACCATAGATCTTATTATTCGAGCCACAGCAGTACTAATTCATAGGGCCATGATATCATAGCGAAACGAAAAATATAATTAGATATTAATGAGTAGGAAAAAGAAAGAAAGGGTATCTTCCTTTCCTATTTGCCACAACGCCTGAAAATCCATCTCCTCTGCAAGAGGAACGCCAATACAACCAGTCTAAAAGGCAGATCCATTAACCATAGGCGTCAACTTCTCAGTGAATAAAGTCTTCCCCTTCACCATGTTGACTACGAAGCTAGGGAATTTCATTCCTCCCATATGGCCTGTGCCAACCTTTTTGCCAACTGGGACTGCCAACATATCTGTAATTGAGTTAGTTTACCAGGATACTTACACGGAATTAGAGAAAAGAGTAAAGGGGGGCTGGAGGGGGAAGAGGCCAACTGACTTTTATCCGCGACCTTGTAGCTTAATGGCTCGGAATTCTTCAATATCAATGCAATATTCTTCGCAACATGAGTGCTTTGTTTGTCGGTATTCACATATTGTGCACGTTCAACAGCAGACACATCGCCCACGACCCACACATTTCCAGCATCCTTCAACCTCAAGAACTGGTCCACAATTGCAAAACCGGCTGGATTGAGATATTTCTCTGGAATAAATGAAGAGTTTGGGACGATACCCATGGTCGGAATATACAAGTCGACAATGATTTTCTCGCCGTTCGATAATGTGATTTCGGTTTTTCCATCAGGTGTCTTTGCTGTGCCGGAAACCTTAGTGGATACTTTGATCTTGACTTGGAGGTTTTCAAGTTGTTTCGTGGCTGTTTTGGAGACACTTGCGGGAGTGCCTTCAAGTACGACAGGGCCACTTGCAATCTGAAAATGGGAGTTAGTAAATAGGCTCGAAATTACATTAATCTCCGTTCAAGTACTTACCAGAGTGATCTGTTTTGAAGAACCATATGCAAAACCCAACTCGCCAGCCGTTTCGACACCTAATTTGATATATGAGCATTGAGTGTCGTGGATGATCATAGACGAAGAACATACCTGTCGCTCCAGCTCCAGCTACATAGATGGAAGACGCATCCTTGACCTTAGCTTGCCATTCATGTAACAAGTCAAGTGACTCTTGATATGAACCCTTGCCCTTGAAGGGCGATTCTTCTTTGGGTCTTGAGCCCGTGGCGAGAATAAGAATGTCATAATTCAAACTCAATCTCCCACTATCTCCGGAAACAACAACTGTTTTGTTCTCCACGTCCAATCCCTCAGCGGTACCGACGACAAATTCGAATTTATCAGCAGTGTATTGCTTGAATCCTGTAGCTATGGATGCGAAAACTTTCTCATCTGGCATTCCTCCAGGTACAATTGCTCGTGTGGCTGCAAGATTCCAGTATACATGGGTGTTTGGCGAAACCAAGGTGATCTTGATGGCGAGTCCAGCTTTGGCTGATTGCTTCAGTATCCTATGTGCTGTACTGACTCCAGCATATGATCCACCTAGGATGACAATGTTCTTGAGAAGGTTGGCCATTATTTCGTGATGTGATCGTCTCAATTAGTTTCAAGTATCAGAAAACAAAAAGTAATTTGTATGAGGATAGAAATGAAGGGCTGGGAGGGTATTGAAAATTGAGAGTGAAATGATGAAAGTATTGTAATATTAAATAAGATTGATCACCCATGATCTGAGACTCTATATACCTTTCTCATCTTCAACCTAGAGTTAAAAGAACAGTGCTTTGTAAATTAATTTTCGATTTTGGATTTTGGTATATCGAGGAAGTCTGTGAACGAGCCGCAGGTGAACGACCAATGAGAGGTCTTAGCGCCGTGGATCTGAGCCCATCGGAGAATTCAGCGCTTTGAATAAAATTGAATAAAACTAGACCTTCCTAAATTTGTCTAGCTGACCGCCCATATGAGTTGTTAAGCATCTTATTAAGATTGAACTTTTGCTTATTCAAGATGAAAATTCGATAAAAAAGTCGATGATTTATCATCAAATTCCAGATACCATCTGGTCGTCTGGATGTCCGAAAAGGACTGGCTGTCTGGCTGTCTGGCTGTCTCTGTTAACAATCTGTACCTCAACGGACATTGTCTGCTCATCAGATTGCGAAAATTCCAGATAGGGCACTTCCCAGTACGTTGGAAGTTCACGGCTGTCAAATTCCACCTGAAACGCGATTGCTAGAGTTTGGAAGGGAGCGAAGAAACAAACGCGGGACGAGATGCATAATCGGTAGTCATGTTTGCTACTCGCTCGGACGTTCGATGTTTCGAGAATCACGTGTTTTGATGTACACGTAGTCAGGCGATCTGCATTGAACTCGTGTACTGTCTAGCTAATGTTATCTATTTTGTCTATTTTTCTATTCAAAGAGAGGAAGAGCTAACACTGTAGTAGATATCCCGCTGTGAGGTAGGAGTCAAGCTCCAAGCTAAAGCACGTGCTAAGTGCGTAGCTCATGAACTGTCATTAGCGATGTCCGCTCTGGACTGCTTCGAGAGAAAAGATAACAACACAAAGAAAAATCATTCGCTGTCGAAACCTCAAAAGGAAACATCTGGCTATCTCCGGACAGGAAGTAAGATAGTGGTTTGATAGGAAAGCCTAGCTCAATGAATTCTAGAAATCATTCAACCAATCAATACGAAACAGCCACTAAAAACATACCGAGTTGTACTTATCTTTGTTTGATTTCTTTTCTCAAATGAAGTCAGTACTTTAGAACTGTGGGGTGGCTATCAACTCCTCGAAGATGCTATTTCGGCCTAGCATTTGAATCGGGCAAGCTTTGTATATGTCCATAAGCTGTCCTACAAATGGTCCAATTGCTATCTATATATTGGTGTATCAAAATTATGCCAGTCTTGAAACTAAATTTGCAATTTGGGCAACAATGATGCTAAGATGTGAGGCAGCCAGCATTTTTGCGGAAAGCTCATGGTCAGGTGGTTCTCAATGAATATGTGGCGGCTATGCGATTTCCTGATCCTCCAGATCATGTTGCTTTGCCTTTGCTCTATTCTTCTTTTACCTCTCTAGGGAAACACGTGGGGAATTATTGAGATCCAAATTAAAATCTAAATTATCACTGTCTCCATAATCTTAATTTCCTTTTCGATCTTATCTGAATTGCAATGCCAACTTTCAAGAAGTTCTTGCTCATCGTTCTCTTTTTTCCCCGGGGCACATTACTTGGTTGGATTTTTAAATTGGCAGTTTCCTTATTGTTGGTCATCATGAACTCGAATTGCCCCTTTCTTGACGAGAATAAGATTCCTGATATTCGGAAGTACAGGTCAGACCAGAGAATCTTTTGGTTTTTGATTTTCATTTGGAAGGATCGAATGATTGTTTTAGGAAAACCTCTAATGTTCGTGGAGTTCCTACTTGATCCTCTTCTGCTATCAGACTTTCCCTTCCTCATACTGCTAGGTGGTGAAAAGTTCTACGCTCCTCCCTCGTGAAGGTTGTTCGTAGGACAATGATATATTTAATCCTTCACTCTTTCAAACAAACCCACTTCTAACCCCCTTGAAAACAACATATATAATTTAAAACCCAAATTCAGTGTTTTTCAGTACTCATTTTGGGCATTATTTTACTCAACCGTACATTCTTCTTTGAACTTGCTCTCCTTCCTCATCCATTACGACGAACACCAATCTTTCACCATCAAGAAAAACTTTACGGAAGATTCTTCTCATTCGAATAACTTCATGAGAGGTCGTGCCAGTCCTATAACTTCAGATGACACTGAGAAAATCATATTGGCTACCAAATCCTAAAGAAAGGACCGAGAGTGCAAGATGCCAGTCTCAAGACATGGAAACAAGCCTCCGGCTTTGGCATCTCATGGGAAAAGCAACAAACCCTCAAAACCCCAATTGAAATGGGACCACGAAATGGCCTACAAAGCTGAAATAGTTTCTCGCAAATATCGTCAATGCAAAACCAAGCCCAGAGGAGCCCAAGACCTCCATGGTCAGGCATCCCAGAAAGAAAAATCGCGTTCCCTTGCCACCCAATTGGAAAACAAAATATCCTCAGTACACTTATAAGCGGGGGCACCATTTAAGCCGCCACGCACATCTGGATTATATGCACAGAATTGGTTGATGGTTAGACTTGAATCAGAGTGGGAAGGCCACACGATCACGGTTCACCCGCTTGATTGGGAAGAATTTGAGGCCAACGAAAAGGATGGTCACAGGTTGCTCACAAGCGCCATCAACTTCATTCGGTATTGGGATCAATATATCAAGGATAATCCCGAAGATCTGAAGGACATGGATCAAATTTTTGCAAGCTGGGTTGCCTCTTCATGTACTGGTGATAATCCATACCGCGCAAAACTTAAGGTGTGAGACCCGAGACTACTAGATTACTCGTCTAGACGTCGACAATTGCAAAGGAAGAGAGAGAAGAAATGGCAACATATGAAGAGGACAAAAGAGAGACAAGAGAAGTTTGAGAAACTGTCAATGATTGATGATCAAATTAAAGAACTCACTCTTAGAGTCGGCCGGCCTCAGTTTTCCTGAGCCATTTCCCTGCCATCGAATCTCTGAAAGCCTCCTCCCACAATTGTGCAGATGGAGGAAACATATGGACGGGCACTCATGATGAAGTCTGAACAGTCCTCTGAATAGACGGAATTGGTACAACTGCATTTATCTGCGGTCAAAAAGCCAGTCAACAAGTGGTTTATACATTTGAAGTTTATGTTTTGTTGGGTTAGCGTTGAGCCATATAGTTGCATGGATAGAAACGGAAAAGGGGTTGGGCTTCAAGTCTTCTAATGGTAGCGATGAGAGAAAGGGTAGGTGATTACGAAGCATCATTACCACAGCATTGTATGTGCCGTAGTAATAGTACATCTTAGCGTGTTGCACAGGCCTATGCATACTCCCTCCAGCGTTTGTAATTATTATATGTAAAGTAAATAATTTCACATCAATGGTGAATATATACCTTTCAATGCTGATGCATCTTGAACTACCCATGTATCAATAACCCTTTGATAACAACTCGACTATTTTCGGTCGACGAGACAGTAATGATGGTAAGCCCATCCATCACAACTTCAGCGGCTATCTGGAGATTAGACTACTGTACAAGTAGCTGTGTTCTTGAATACTTCTCCGTCGACACGAGGAACCAGACAAGTATTCCCGTTAGTCTAAGCTTCAGGAGACCTTTCATAAAGCTTTGTACGCAATGGAGCAGTATGTTGCACTCCAGACTAGTATTGACTACGTTCCGTGCGACTTCATGTAATCTTTATAAAAATTTAAACATGAAGAAATCTCCGTACTTAATAATGTCCCATAGATGCGATAGAGCGTTCTGATAAAAATAGATGAGTTTGCATCTCATGAAATCTCTCTTTCAACTCGAGAGATCAAAAAGATATAGAACAGATATAGGCATCCTCAGCCAGGTTCGCCAACTCAAGGGATGGAACACCAGCTCGCTTGTGTGAATTCAACCTTCACCCAATAAGTAACTCAATAACACCTGCTTCCCCCTCCCCCCCCCCCCCCCCCAAAAAAAAATCAATGATAGTGTGCGCTGAATATTTATAGATCTAATTATACCGAGACAACCATGGGTATAACCATCGTACCGGTACCAACTAACATTCTTCACGTCACCAAAAAAATGGAACGTAATCGTCAAATCCTCAGGAATGTACACTCCTCACCTCACCTCCCCATACCTCAGAAACCACGTATCTCAATTCCACATTCCCCTTCTTAACACTATTCCCATAACAATACTAAGTATTGCATCACTTTTACCTATATCACATCATCAATTGCGTATTAGTAACCATGCGTTCAACCAATGTTATTCTCGCCATTCTTTCCCTCTCTTCTACCATCTCTGCGCTTGCGGCTCCGAGATCTGCAGCTTTCGATGCGGGATTGAATGTGTTTGAGAAGGATTGCCAATATTCTGCTATGGGATGTATGTTACTCTTCCCATACCTATACACTCCTAGATAGAATCAAACTGACAAATCCAGCCGTCTGCCACAAAACATCCCATATCAATTGCTGCAATGGATTCTCCTGCGAAATGATGGATAATCCCAATGGGGATTATGGTATTTGTCGCGCGTCGAATGATCGTAAGAAGGATGAGAAATGCATGTGTTCCATGTCTGATGGTAAGAACCCTGATTCTAAATTTCTATACCATAGGACTAACCGGATATTTTAGATGTGTGTCATCCAAAATCCGAATCAATTGCTGTTTTGGTCTCTACTGTGACATGACCAATAACCCCAATGGCGATTACGGAAAATGTAAACCTTCGCATGAGTCGAATAATCCACTCAAGAAAATCGAAGATGCGGAAAGATGTTTGGAATCGGGCTGTATGTTAACTTTCTCTTCCACTCCTTTGCTATATTGCAGTTCAATACTAAAGACTATCAAGCAATGCATTGTAATTTGCAAGGTGCACCACCATGTTGCTCCGGGGCAAAATGCAACAAGGTTGGAAGATCGGATAGCCCAATGTTTATGTGCGAAAAGGAATCCGATGATCAAGATAGTGATGACAAGTGTTTGAAACCTGGTTGTATGGTTACCCCTCCTCACTATCTGCATCAATACTAAGTCTTCGCTAGCAATGCATTGCAACTACCTTGGCTCCCCAAAATGTTGCAGCGGATCAAAATGCAACAATATTGGAAAGTCTGACAGTAACATGTTTATGTGCGAAAAGGAGTCTGATGACGACGATAAGAAACAATGTTTAGTTCCTGGAGGTATGTTATACTCTTTTACGTCACATTCATCTTAGAATAGTAACTGATATCTCGATAGCACACCACTGCAACATGTCCGGCATGAAATGTTGCCCTGGATCAAGTTTGTAAGAATGTCAGAGGTGAAAATTTCATGTGTGCAAAGGACTCTGATGATGATGACGACGATGTTTCAACTGTTCTCTCCCAAGATCAACAACCATTCCTCTCATCAAAAGACAAAAATGTCTTCGAAGAAGATTGTGACAGGAACATGTGTATTGAAGGAGGCCGTACGTTCCTGACCCCATTTTGATTCCAATTTGTGGAAGAGAGCTAATTCAACGATACAGAGATGTGTCATCGCCACAGACAAAACTCCAAGTGTCCACCTGCTCCATGCTGTCCGGATTTTCAATGCGCATACGTAGATTCTCATCATGAATCTTTCTGTGTCTCCATGTCCGATTCGAACAAAAAGACTGAAATTGCTTCATCGAAGAAAACATACCATTTCGAAAAAGAAGGATGAATTGATGACTGAAAACTGCGCACCACAGGACCCCACTGGATGCTCACCTTTTGGATGTAAGAATCCCCATCCTCCTTCATTTAGCAGTAAAATTGACAAGAAAAAGGTCCATGTAAAAAAGATCAACATAATAGCTGCTGCAAAGGTCAAAGTTGCACAGGTATGTCGGAATCGGGTATGTCATATTGCATGACACCTGACGATCAGGAAGAGGAGCACTCTCGCCTATACGCATTGAAAGGGATGTTCCATGGGTTTGTTGAGAAAATCGAGAAGAAATATTGTTTACCACAAGGAGGTAAGTAACCTTTCTGTTTCTATCTCTGTGAGATGAGAGTGCTAATGTGAGAGTAGAATCATGTATGATGCAACATGATAAATGCTGTCATGGATTGATGTGCCATTCTGGAGAATGCATGGCCGACAATGACGAACTGAAGATTTGATGAGAAAAGTTTGAACAGGATGCCAATGAAGTTGGGTGTGTTGGAATTCCTTTGTTCTTTTGTTGGAATAGGAGGAAAATTGTGTTGTGTTTGTTTTGAGTACCTAAAGAAGGTGAAGTAAGAAAATTAATTGGTTAATCACCAATACTTGTGAGCCAAACTTGCGACCTAGTAATACTGAAAGCAATTTGCAAACCCACTCACGAAGGCTCGTATAAAGTATATTTCACTTGAGAAAGGTATCTAGAGCCCCTGTTTCTATTTGAATTTGGAACTGAGTGTCTAAGAATGCTCCTCCAAGGGGATAAAAAATCCTTCACCTGAATGTCTGCCATGAATTTTGTGAACGAATGGCTTTGTAGACAATTTTCGTAGCCTCGTGATCTCAATTCGTAAATTATGCGATAGTCACCCACCAGCAGAGAGAGAGAGAGAGAGATGTAATGGTAATTCCAAACATTCGTGGTAGCCATCACAATACATAATATATCCGCAAATTGCAAGCGTTTCTCTCTTGATTCAGTGTCAAAACTGTTGACCAACAACATTCCATAAGGTCAAAACCATCTCCAATCGTACAATCTCAATATAGATCTTGAATAACGATCAAGGAACCCATCCAATTTCTTCGATTGGTCCTCTGATCCACAACCGATGTTCATCATCCAATAAACCCCAAATTTGAGCAATTAGATATTCCGACCAACCTTTCATGTACCAATATGAATCTAGATGCTTCAACAACACGGCAAAATGTGCAAAAATTGTGAGAGCTTCCGCATTCCTTTGTCGAAGAAGTACTAAATAATGTTCGTGTACTCGATACGGCCATATAAACACATCAGCCAACTCGACACTATGACGATCCCTATTTGCAAGAACGCCGAAAGACTTTTGGAGCTCATCTATGCTTTGAATATATGCTTCCAAATCCTGTGGATCAGTCGTTGATTGCGAAAGAAATGTGGCTAGATGGATGAGATCTTCGTTTGGGGGTGTAACCTGATCATTTCTCAATCGATCACGTCTCCCTCCAGCCGTAAACATAGGGCTTAGACTTCCACTGTAGATTGAATCTGGAGAATGATCTGTCAAAGCTCTGGCTCCTCTCAAAAGAGAAACCCAATCCGATACATCATTATCCCCGACAATCAAGAGATCCAAAGGTTTTCGAGGACTTGCTATCGAGTACACTAGAGTGAGGGTAGTGAATACATATAGGGGAGTACAATTTTCATCATTGAGGTCACTCATCATGGGAATTGCATCAGCTAATGCCTTTTGATGATGAAACACAGCTCTCGCGACATAAAGATCTCTTTTCTCTGGTTTATAATAAGCAATATGTAGGGCCCCAAGTGCCATTAGACCTCGCATCAAGAATTCATGAGAGTATGAAAGTTGCGGAATGTTGATTCGCCATAATATTCTGATCGGAGGACTCGAAGCCAAAGTCATAGACGTAGATATTGTGTAATGATGAAGTAGTTCCATGTCAAGAAGAGTAAAGTTTGGTGCTTGACTGTCGAGCATGGAAATGGAAGGTAATGGCATTTGGTGGGTAGAAATTGATGAACCAGTGGTACTCATAGGGCTAAACGTATTCATGGGAGTACCGCCGCCACTAAAGCTAGGACTAGGCGACGGCACCGATGCAGCAGGTGTGACTGCCGCGCTGGTGATGATAATATCGCATTGTACGGAATGCCTGATGCAATTGTTGCCTACGTGATTGTTAGAATTCGAAAGGTCCATCATCGCGCGTTCAATATTCTGGATTGCAATCCAACCCTAAGGAATTTGAAGTTTTGATATCATCTCCAAGATATAATCAATTAGGCATGATCAAGTCAAATTCAACATGTATTGAAAATTTTCAAGAATGGACTGCAATCCAGACTACCAAACACGTTATCTTTAGTGTCTTACATGACGGCTTATTTTCATCGCACTAAAGTAGAAATCATTAATCATGCATTCATTCCCCATACAAAGAAAACATTAGTAGCCGTACCTTAATTTTCCTAGTTTTGCAAACGCGACAACCAGTCCTGACTTTTCGATGCGGTTTACGAGACGTCCCTTGCATGATCCAATTTTCACGAGATCTTATCTTATCGCGTTTGCAAGACCCGTGGAGTGGCCAGAGGAACGAGAGAAGTCCGAACACGACGACTGAAGAATACTCCGTTATACCGAAGCCTTATGAGCCTTTCTGCCAGCTATCAGTTATTTTTAGAGGAGCAATACAGATATGGCCAGGATATCAAGATAACTAGTAATTGATAGGGCAAAAGGAAGTTGCCGTAGAGTCAAAATCAGATTCTGCGTGTTGTTGGGGCTGTGGTTTGATGGAATGAGGTTGTGAGATTGAGAGCGAAGTCGTGTACGAGGAGTGCGAGAGGTGTACGAGTGCGAGTGCGACGTGCGAGTGGCTTGAGCTAGCAAGGGAGCTATCAAGCGATCCAATTAGACAATTTGTTTTGGATCTCATCCCCAATCAAATTTCTTATCACGGCAATTACGATCATCAGCTTGTTGATTGCGAGTATTCTAGACTCGGTGAAGGAAGGGAACAGACCCAAAGATTTGTTTGTATTCAATCTACGAATTGTGCTGTGAACCTGGAAGTAACAATTTTTTGAAAACATCAGAATACACAATTAGCAAAACAAAAACACCACAAAATATCGTCCTCTCAACATCATTTTCAGAGACTCTTTCCAATCTTGAGAAAGGTTGCCTATCTTATCCTATTCATGCTTCTCCCATGAGGCAGGAAGTCCAAGAGTCTACCGCCTAGTCGTACCTACTTCAAAGCTCCGCCCTCCTCGCATTCTATGCGAGCCCCTCCGAAAGCGAGAAAGCGAGAAGCGATGTACGAATACGCCAATACGTCTCCAATGAAGAGCTTCTCAGTACGAAGCTGCGACTTTTTATCTAATTTGCATTTTTCTAGAAATCACATATTATATAGCTCTCTCCTGTTTTCAAAATGGAGTCTTCTATTATATCTCATTCCCATCTACAAGCTTCTTTCCTTCCTCTCAAAAGAAACCGACCGTTCGAGATCTCAAGTCCCGATATTTCTCTACTTTCCGTCCCCTGAGCTTCGAATTGATATTCAACGATTAGACGAACGTGATACACTCATCACACACCAATCATCATGTCGGTCAACGGAGAAAAATATATGTTCTATCACTATGAACCATCAACAGCCGCATCTTGCGTGTTTGTAGTCCTATTTGGTGTCTCCGCCATCCTCCACATCTACCAATTAGTCTCCAAGCGAACATGGTATTTCATTCCCTTCGTTATCGGAGGTTTATGTAAGTGTACCCTTCCACAAATCTTCACAGCTTCATTTCACATGATCTGAACGCTGCCGACAACCTACACCTTTCACATTTCTCAACTCATACTAACCCACTCTACAGTTGAAGCCATAGGTTACGTCGGGCGTCTCCTATCTTCTCGCGAGAATTACGGTGATTGGACACTCGGACCCTACATCATGCAAACGCTTCTCATTCTCATCGCCCCCGCCTTTTTCGCAGCATCCATCTACATGGTCCTCGGACGTATCATCGTACTCACCGACGGCGAACAATATTCCATCATCCGCGCGCGCTGGCTCACCAAAATATTCGTCGCCGGCGATGTTCTTTCTTTCCTGATGCAGTCCAGTGGTGGTGGAATGCTCGCTCAAGCCAAAACCGCTTCGAATGTCCAGTTGGGAGAAAACATCATCACGGGTGGTCTCGTCGTCCAAGTTGTTTTCTTCGCTTTTTTCATCGTCACGACCGGCATCTTTCACTCAAGAATCGTCAAAGCACAAGGCGGACTTCAAGCTTCTGCTGTACCATGGCAACAATATCTATATATTCTTTACGTCGCCAGTACTTTTATCATGATTAGATCGATATTCCGTATTGCAGAGTATGTCCAAGGATCTGACGGTGCTCTTTTGTCGACCGAAACGTACATCTACGTGTTTGATGCTACGCTTATGTTCTTGGTTATGGTAATTTTCAATCTGAGACATCCAAGTGCCATTATCCAAGGAAAGGGACAACAATACTCGACTCCAGTTTCGACAGGAAGCAGAGATGGATATCCGATGGAGGATAGAGTTCCATCTGCGACCAAGTACCAAGGTCATGACTATGCGAGAGAATCCGTCTAGATCTGCATAGAATGGAATGACGAATGGAGAGTATGGGCAGCATTGGGGCTGCACGGGATAACGAAGGGAGGACATGAGTAACATTTCGAACCGGAAGGAAAAATGTTACGGGGGAGGTTTCTTAATCTAATACCAACTACGGTCGGCATGGGCGGTTTTCTTTTTCTTTTTTACAACCATTTCTACAGCAAGGCGTTTCAGCGTGGGATCCATAGAGGATGTAAAAGTCTAGCATGCGACTTACATCTTATTAGAATACATGAATAATGACAAGATATCCAAAACCATTGATGGGAGAATCATTGTGAATTCATTCTACCGAGTCATCTTCCATTTCAGGCGATCTTTCATGCATCAATATCTCGTTAAAGAAACTCACCCCTTCTGTAGAAGACTTGAAAACTATAGTGCTAGAGTGTTGAAGTCTACATTCTTGAATATATTTCAAACCCTCATTCAATGTACTGTACTTCTCCCTTTGTCTATGGAGATGAAAAGAAGCTGGTAGTCAGCTTCTTCTCTCGAAACATAAAATTCCCGAGTTCACTCATCTTATAGATTAGATGTCTTAGCGATTAAGGAGCTGCAGAAAAACTTAGATGAGATGTCGAAAGATAGACTAACACTCACAGCTTCTATAAGATTGTATAATATTTAGCATCCTTTTCAATGGAAACACCTCAACCAACATTCCCATCCCCGCAATTCTTCATAAACTCATGATTATATGGATATTCTTCTACCTTCATGTCTTTACACATCCATCAATCTATCCATTTACCAAAACCCGAAACCCCATAATCCTGCCCTCCCCCTGCCCTACCTCCCTTAAAAAACCAACCCATAAACCCTTTCACATCCCGAATTCCCTCTCCCAAAACTCCTCAATCAATCCTCCCACCACCTTTTCATGCGTCCTCACCAGAACATGCCCTGCCCCATCCACCTGCAATATCTCTTTCTCCCACCCCAACTCCCCCAACTCTCTCTTCACAAATTCTGGCGGAAACGAAGTATCGAATTCCCCCACTATCACCAAAATCTTGATCCCACTCTCAATCAAACTTCCTATAACTCTCATGCTGATCAAAAACATTCCCATACCTAAAAATACTAACCACACTCGCTTCATGCCTTTATGATTTTCCCTCTGCCATTGATCGATCGGCTGGGATACAAATTCCCCTTGTTGAATTGCTTTCTTTCCAAGTTTTATTCGAAGGAGCGAAGCCCACTAATTCCTCAATGATAGTATGATCACTCTCATCATCTACCATCCAGTCCCCATCCTTCTGCACCTTATTCCACCATCCACTATTTTCTTTCTTCCAAAGTCCCGCTCCAGCTACAATCACCGCGCTCTCCACCACCTGCGCATACACCGCCGCGAAAGTAGCCACAATACTCCCGCCCAAACTAAACCCCACCAAATGCGCCTTGTTCCATCCCAAATGCGAGAGAACTTCAAAAATCTGCAGATGCATCAACGCCGGCGTGTGTGCCTCCAACGGAGTCGAAGAATTTCCATGCCCCCAGAGATCATAAATCACAACATGAGATCCCGAGGCTGTAAGTTGACGGGCAAGAGGTGCGATACCAATAGCGCTTGTTGCAATGCCATGGATTAGGAGAACTTTTTTGGTGTTTGATGAGGCGGAGGGATTGAAATCATAGTAATGGATTGTTCCTCGAGATGATGGGATGTCTTTTCCTGGGGGGAGGATACCGGCGAATTCTTCTTCGAATGCTTTTGCTGATGGGGGTGGGATGTAGGAGAGTCCGTTGATGAGAAAGGGAGGAGGAAGTGAAAGATTTGTCATTTTGAATAGTTTGATTAATGGTAGTGATGAGGTGACGTGAAGTGAACGTAAACATGTGAGTTCTAAACAAGAATGGGGGCTTGATCACTAGTGATCATCTCACCTGGAGCAATCCCGTAAGCAGATTTTTAATCGATGCCCCCGCAGAACTTCTTAGAAATTGAAGCAATTTATAATCACAAATTCGTCATGTTTGATTATGGATCCAAACATACCTACGACTAGGAATCTTTCTATCACTCTGATAGAAGATCAATTTTATGTCACCAAATCCATGTAGCGCAACCACTGTATTAATCATGTTCAAGAGGATTTCTCTTATTCAACTTCAGAAGCCGCTTGACCCATTCACAGATTGATAAACAATGCCACTCAAATTGAATTCCACTCGAAACAGTCGAGTCGTCAAGACGAACTTTTCTCAACATCTTCTCGTAATTTACCATTCAATAACCATAACCAAGTCCATCTCAATACGCAACCATAAACCCAAGTCAAACGAACCTATACTCATTACTGCTACCCAAGATTTCAAACATAGAAAATCGACAAATATAAAACAGAGAATGTAGGAACTACCCACTTAAAGACACAAATACCACAGGACAAACGAACGAAAAATCGACAGAAGAAGAAAAAAGTCTAATCAAAACCTTTACACAATTAGATAATTCAAATATACAAATCTACGAAGTATCTACTGTTTATCTACCTATCTACCTATCTACCTATCTACCTATCTACCTATCTACCTATCTCCCACCTCCTACCTACCTACACTCTTCTTCCACTCTCCCCCGCACAAAAACCAAACAAACACCTCTCTTCCCTCTTTCTCTTCCCTCTCCTTCCCATGAAATCCCCCCTCCCGCCCACCAAACATCCACAAAGAACGCAAAACAAAAAAATTCAATTGACCAGACTGGGCACGATCCCAGGACCTTGTCCGAACATAACAAATCACAATCACCTTTCAAAGACTGTGAAATTGTTAAGGACACGTGATAACCAACTACACCATCCGGCCTTTCGATATCTGCTGGGCCGCAATTTGAGTATATATTATCTTTGCGTAGTGCTGTGGGGTAGAGTTACCTATGTATCAATGAATGGATTGGATGGATATTTACATTAGCCTGGAGGTGGGTGGGGTTGCAGGTATGGATAACACGAATGGAATTTTCTTCGTGGCTGATCTAATCAAGTAAGCGATGTATGTGCGCAAAAAGTGGTGAGTGGAGGTGGAGGTGGAGTGCATATGACCGATCCAATGAGTACTTGCAGTGGCTGTTTTTCTCTTCGGCATATGGAATGGTTGCATATCGAATCTCATTCATCCATTGAACCAAAATGCTAGGACGAAAAGAAAAAAGATTTCGAGAGACAAAAGCAAAAAGCTGAATTGCCTTGTGATGTAATTGTTTCAAAACTCATCGAAGTAATTAAAAGAATAGTAAAATGGCCATGAAGAAGCCTCTGGTATCTATTATATAAAATTCCCATCTATCCATCTTCCATCATCCATCGGCACGCACCCATGCCCATGCAATTCTCAAACTCATATCCCAAATATCCTATTAAGAATTCATTCAACACATCCCTCATGTCTTCCCTATACAACTTTAAAGATCTTTCGAAGTACTGGCCTCAGTCGAAGTCGTAGTGTCACTTTGTCCATTTTCATCCTGAACTTCGATTCCTGTCCCCTTCTTTTCCCTTTTAGTATTTTGTCTGTTGTCCCTTAGGAAATCAAGTTCTGCTTTATTTTCAGCCTCCAGTTCACCATTTTTTTCCTTTTCCTTTTCTCTAGCCTTCTCCATCTGATGAATAGCCTCTTTGGTCAGATCTTGCTTAAACATTCTTTCCAAAACATCCTTCTTTCTAGTTCTATGATCTCCAATACTGATAAGTACACCAGCTGTTATATTGACTGTGATACTACAGCATAGAATAACCGTAGTTAATGCAAATGGTCTAGTCTTATAACTAATTGCCCAAGTACATGTACCAAGAGCTATTTGAAGAAGAGAATGACAATCCAGAAGAACGACAACGGCGACAAGTAATCTAAGGGGAAATGCGTGATGTGTGTTAGTTTCGTGAGGCTTATAGAACGTATGAGATCGGTTGAATTTCTTTTGATGATGTTGAAGCTTCTTTTGTTGAGCTGGACTAAGAAATGATACTTCATCTTCGACAATCTGATCTTCTAGATCTTCTGGTAATATTGCTGGTAAATCGTTATGATCTTCCAATTTTGGTAGAGCCTTTTCTTTGCGAAGTCGCCATGTTAGGTGATGATAGTGGGCTATGTATATCATATGGTAAGTGTCGATAGCCCGAAATGGAGCAAGTCCATCACCCATTATAGCAAAAAGCGCAACAAGAACATTGTCAATAACGTTGATCACATATAGACGTTTACTTCCAACATTAACCCAACCAATCAGAAAAAGAACCCATGCCAATCCAAATAGGGTAATAAGAGTTGCATATAGGGTAACGAAGAATCCGAGAGCTAAAAATATTAGTCTAATGTATAGCATAGATGATTGCAGAAAACTTACGCTTTCTAACATATTGTCCAAATCCTTTCATTGCTCGCTTGAATCCTTCTCTTCTTGAATGTAATAGATGACGCACATGATCATTAAGTTCTTCTTTATCCTCTGGTGACCAACCATCCAAATTAATGCCTTCCGGGACTACGGCATAATGAGGATGTTCCTCATCTGGATGTGATATGGATTCAGTGAGAGTAAAAGCACCAGTATCTCTACTTTGAAGTCGAGGCCTTCCTGGGCGAGGGAGAGCTTGTCCTAATTCGTCATTTGGCCCAGGCTCTTCTATTGTTGGAAGATCCGCCAAGTTTGTTGGACGACGAGAAAGACTATTTGTTTGCTGACGAGCCAGATCATTGGTTGGTCGACGGATAAGTTCATTTCGGGTAAGATTATATGTTGGATTACGGTTAAATAGGTTTCCAAGTGATGGAATAAATAAAGAGTTTTGAATATTAGTAAGACTTGTCAACGTGGAAATTTCGGGATCTGGAAAATGGTTAGAGAGATATTCAAGATATTCTTATAACAGCATTGAGGGGAGACAAACCAACTAGATCAAGGAAATCAACAAGATCAGTGTCGTATTCATCTTGTGTTCTTGGGACCCCTTCACTATGGGTATGAGAATGTTGTAGAGGAGGAGGGACTTCATTTGCCGTATTATTTCCACCGGTATTAATTGAAGCAAAAATTGGACCTTCTTGTTTTGTTGCAGAAGCCTCCTCAATGGTAGACGGAATATATGAACCCGCCCTCACTCGTGGTGGACCGGCGATTGTAGCTGATTGAGAGCTTAACCATGCTGGGCGTTGTGGCTCAGAACTACTTCGACGCCTGTTCGATGTATCAATAGTATCGTCGACTGATGTGAGATGATTATCAACGCGTGGAGTTGAGTTATTGCGGGTCTGCCAATCTCTTCGAGATGTATTGTCATAAGGTTGATTAATCTGCGAATTTCCAGCAGAAAGATTGGCCGTTGATGGTATTCGTCTGATTCGAATAGTTGGTCGCCATACCGCTGGTGGAGGTCGTTGTGGTTGTCCGGTTGTTCCTTGAGAATTCAGTGTATTTTGTTGTGCTAGTGAATTCGCCGATGTACGTGCTGTAGATGCCCCAATACTTTCTCTTCTACTGTTCCTTCTTGCATTATTTCCAGAAACTCCGGATGTCGATAATGTTGGCAATTCTGTTCCCGTTGTTGTTAAGAAGTTTGGATCTTCAATCGCAGATTCCCGCCGCGATTGCATTTTTGCTTATCTTTTGTAAACAAAAGAATTCGAGAGCGAAAACACAAATATATCCAGGGGGTGTTTGTTCTCTGTTTTCTTTTCTTTTTGCTTATACGATATATCAATATCAAGGTCCCCTTGATTGATACTAAGGACAAGTCTAAAATCTTGTAAATAGAAAAGATCGAGAAATATTTTAGGGGACCATCGGAACAATGAGATACTAAAGAGGTGTAAATTGAGAAATCTAGAATTCGGTTTCTTTTCCTTCTGTCGGATCTTTTCCTCTTGACCAGGTGAGCCAAGAAACAAGTTCTGATAATTGAGCTACCAACCCTCGAGCCACGGATTGACCCAATTCCAATGGTTAAAGCTTGGTGAGTGGTCTGCGATGAATAGAAAATTGGGTCTTGACTTTAAGATTGAAAATCGCAGGCAAAATTACACGGCCGGTACGTCATATGGAGAGAGCGCTTAGGACTTGGGAAAGTAAGTACGATGTAGGGAATCAAAGTCTGTGGGGGAAGGGAGAGGAGTGATGAAACTAGGTAGGTGATAATGATAATATAATTGTTCGAATGCTTTAGCCAAAACAGAAGAATGAATGAGCTCAAAACGCGCTTCAGATCATATCAATTCAATGTCTATGCCATGATATGATTCGAGTAGAAAAGAAGTCACAGGTTACAGAACAGTAGTGTGTTGGAACTTGGTCCCAATTTCCAGCCATCATTTTCGTTTGTACTCCGGTCCTCGAAGAGTGGGAAAAGATAAAAGATACTACCAGGTAATTTCCAATCAACCAGTAGATGGGTATCAAAATCACAGCTGAATAATCGATAAGCATAAAGCACATACCAATCAAATTCCCATATCTATTTATCGAACATTATCTCCGAATCTCCAATTGGAATCAATTATCAAATAATATTGGGAATTTGTGAATGCCCTGCTTCTCAAATTCTAGACCAATCAAAGTCGGTATTGTGATGGGGAGACTAGGTAATGGAGAAGGTAAATTCGAAACGTTGGCAGCATCAAGAATTATGCAGGATCTCAGATTGATTGATTGAACTTCAAGGGACCACCTGGGTATCGTTGGACCCTTATGCAAGGCTAAATCATCGTAGCAAGGCTGACGAATGCCTTCTTTCTTTCTCGTAACGTGAGGGTACAAAGTAAATCGTGTGAGATGGATGGGACA